TTCTCATGAGAATTAAAATGTTAACAGTCGAACATTTTAGATTTTTTAAAGATTAAATGGGTAAAATCCGGTCTGAAGTTGTACAAAAAAAAAGTATATTTAGTTCATAGTACGTTGGTTTATATGACCGTATCCATGTAATCAAACCTACATGGGGATCTTTCCATGTCTGGAATTGGACAACAGTTATTATATTCGTTGGACAGTTAAATTCGTGGATAAAGCCTTCCACGAAAACCACGAAAATTGGTACCCCACGAATAAAAGTACTTTCACAGTATACGAACTCAATTTGTTTGCACTCATATAAAAACTTGTGAACTCTGAAAGACTAAGTTCATGTATCAGTAATACCAGTATACAGAAATATATGGATATAACCTTTTTTCAATTAATTTTTCCTTTAAATCAAATCATAGAGAATTAAATCAAAATAAGCTTCTGGTAATCGTACAGTAATGTTGTTTTTCTTTCGAAATGAACAGCGAACCAGGAAAAGGTAACTATATCCGGAGGGGTTTACTCCTGGTTTGCCCACTTTTAATTACACCTATTATTTATTAGTAAAGAAAACAAAAAAGACAAAAGGTTTAATGAGCACACAATTATATAGTCTGTTCCAACTTAGGTATATAGTTTATCAGTGTTTTCTATATATATTCAGGTATTTTTTATTTTGTAATTCCATTTTCATAAATGTATAGATAAATGATAAATAAATTATATATATTTTTTCTCTCAATAATTTAACATACATTGTGTCATAGGTCAAATTTATTTGTTCAGTGTATGTTCAATGGTGTTAATATGTCCTTTGATTGAGTTAAGCTATTTCAGTTGATATTTTATAGTGTGTCTTTCTATGTTGTGATGTTACACTATTATTTCAGAAAAAGGGTGAAGGTTTGGTACCATTAAAACGTTTAAACCCGCTGCATTTGTTTGCACCTGTCCTAAGTCAGGAATCTGATGTTCAGTAGTTGTCGTTTGTTGATGTGGTTCATAAGTGTTTCTCGTTTTTATATAGATTAGACCGTTGGTTTTCCCGTTTGAATGGTTTTACACTAGTAATTTTTTGGGGCCCTTGATAGCTTACTGTTCGGTGTTAGCCAAGGCTCCGTGTTGAAGACCGTACTGTGACCTATAATGGTTTACTTTTATAAATTTTGACTTGGATGGAGAGTTGTCTCATTGGCACTCATACCACATCTTCTTATATCTATGTAAAACAATGGCACTAGCCTGGTTTAAAAGTAATATAAAGTATATTAAAAAAAACTAAACAAATTTCGTGCGCAGGGTTTTGGGGCCGCTGAAGGCCCGAAGAAGCTATAGAAAAATGTATGCAAAATCATGCATTCTGCGCATTTCATAGAACCTTTCTTGATCAAACATGCAAGTTCTGTTTTTATTATTTTTTGACAATATTTTGGTCTCAAGGTAAAATATATAGTTTCAGTGTAAGACTTTTAGTTTTTAGGGACATCAAAAGACAAATTTGTAGGATAAAGCAAAAACATGTTGTTCACATATAGTTTTATGGATGTGGTTGCTATTTTTTTTTTTAGATAAAAAATCCTTAAAAAAAATAAAAGTCAAGTTAATTTTTTTTTTACTAAATTACAAATGGAAAGCAAAAGAGAATAAAGTAAATGTTCCTGAGACAATATACCTAAGTTAAATGAAACCCATTTTCAGACATTTATTTCAAGTAAATTAATATTTATACATTATATTATTTAAAGATTTGGGAAGTTTTTCCCTAAAAAAATGAAAAAAGACGAATTTTGGAAGAATCAGGTGCCATCTCATACTTTAGAATAGCATTTATAAAATCAGGGGCGTTACTTAAACAAGTTATTTTTTTAAGTTACTTATATAAGTAATTTTTGTTTTTAAAAATAATAAAATTACTTAATAGAGTTATTTTAAATTTCAATAGAAGCATAGACTAAATGTAGTTTTCATGAATTTTTACATCATTTTATATCATAAATAAAGAATTTATTAGATTTGAGAGGAGTATAGAGATAAAGGGTTACTTTAAAAATAATGACAAAAATATTACTTGAATAAGTTATTTTATACATTTATGAAAAAAATAGTAATAACACTTATTGAAGGAACATATGTAATTGATTTTGGTTACAAGTTATAAATAACTTCAAGTCTTAATTAATTCACAAGTATCTATCTATTTATATCAGTCTACCTTCAAGATTTTGGAGGAAAATTATAATTTAATAGTCCCATGAGACCAATCTTCGACCCAGAAGCGTCAGTATGAAAGATAAGTGCGTCAGAAAGTTAATTAGTGTTTCAGAAGGATTAGATTTTATATTTCATGGGAAAAATAACCAGATGACTGTGAAAATTTGTTAAAGCTACTAAATGCTGTATAATTGGACACCTATAAAAATAATATTCAGAAAAGTTACTTATATAAGTAATATTTAAAATAGCCTCGTTTTCAACATTACTTGTATAGGTAACTTTAATTGTTACTTATTTAAGTAATGCCCCTGACTGTAAAATGGCTTTAAAGACCTGCCAAGTTATTTATTTTCAATACATTTTAAGTCAGTTAAACTTTCTTTATTTTCAAACTACTACAGGACAAACCATTATTTTTTTCTTATTATCAAGGCTGAGTTATTTATTTTCAAAATCCTCCCCCCCCCCCCCCCCTGACAATATCCAATGGTCGTCACCTAATATATGAATCAAGTTTATAAATGCATTGCATAAGGAAATAAATAGAGCACTATGGTAAAATAACAATCTGTTGGGTTTTTTTTAAATAATTTCATTTGTAAAGCTTGGCCACTGAACAGTTGCATTTTTATTCTATTTGTTAGTATTTATTGTCAAATTCAATACATTTTCCTGATAAAAACTATATTAAAACTTTTGAACATTTCATTGATTTAATAGCAGAATATAGTATTTGATAAAATTTTACAGGTAAAATAAAAGGTAAAAATATGACTATAATTCAGAAATAAACTATAATTGTTAAAACAACAATCCACCCTATGTTTACATATGCATGTAATTAAAAAATGGGCAAACCAGGATGACACCGTCGGATGGTGATGATACAATGTTAAACATCAATGTATTGTCATTGGTGTTGTCGTTGGTTTTTGTCTGTAAGAATGAAGCCGCCAGAGTTATCATTTGAATTTGTTTCACATTTTTCATGCTTATATATACTGGTAATAGCTGACTATATGGTATGGGTTTTTATACGACCGCAAAATAAATTTTGTGGTCGTATATTGGTATGACGTTGGCGTCGTCGTCGTCGTCGTCGTCGTCCGGCGTCGTCGTCGTCTTACGAAGACACATTAGTTTTCGCACTCTAACTGTAGTTTAAGGTAGATCATAAGTATATACTTTTTGAGATAGAATTTTCTTATACTTTGCCAAAACGAAGATTTTACTATGCTTTTTTCAAAAATATAATAAAAAGTATGGGTCACCGTGCTATTTTCCAAGCTATGAGTCGTTGAAATTTGCCTAAATTTGGTTAGATTGTTCATGAAAAAACACATTTGTGTGCATAAAAAAAATTCCATGAGATAGAATTTTGAAATAAATTGTAAGAAGATAGGTTTTATAATATGTTTTAAAAAAATAAAAAGAAAAAATGGTGTCACCGCACTTGTTTTCTTGCTAATAGTAAAAATAAAAGATTTCCCTATCAGTCCAGTATATATTTTTACCAAAAGAGTTATCTCCCCTTAAATGGCTTATTTGTATTTGTTTAAATATTTTGAATAATACAATAAATCACCAAGTTTTCTTTATATAAATAAACAACCTAACCATTAAATTGCAAATATGTCTTCTAATTTGCAGATTTGGCCAAATAACTAGACCAATTTTGTACTGAGATTGTACAATCCGAGATGGCGGTATACCATGAATCTACCTTAAGTGAATGGATCTCAATGATATTTTACCATAAGGTTCAATACCACAAAAGGAAGGTGTGGATTGATTTTGGGGGTTATGGTACCAACAGTTAAGGAATAAGGGGCCAAAAAGGGGCCAAAATAAGCATTTTTTGTAACTTCCAGACATAACTTGTGTGTAAGTGTATGGATCTCTCTGACATTGTACCACAAGGTTCCATATAACAAAGGGAATGCTGGGATTGATTTTGGGGGTAATTGCCTCCAAATTGTAGGAATTAGGGGCCAACAAGGGGCAAAAAACAAGCATTTTTCTAGTTTCATGACAATAACTTGTGTGTAAGTGTATGGGTCTCTCTGACATTGTATCACAAGGTTCCATATCACAAAGGGAAAGCTTGGATTGATTTTGGGGGTAAATGCCTCAAAATTTTAGGAATTAGGGGCCAAAAAGGAACAAAAAACAAGCATTTTTCTAGTTTCATGACAATAACTTGTGTGTAAGTGTATGGATCTTTATGAAATTGTACTACAAGGTTCCATATCACAAAGGGAAAGCTGGGTTTGAGTTTGGGGGTAATTGCCCTAAACGTTTAGGAATTTGAGGCCAAAAAGGGGCCAAAAAACAAGCTTTTTTATAGTTTCCAGACAATAACTTGTGTTCAAGTGTATGGATCTCTCTGAAGTTGTACTGCAAGGTACCATACCACAAAGGGAAAGCTGGGATTGAGTTTGGAGGTGATGAATCATAAGGGGGTTCAAAAAATTTAAATATTTAATTACAATCCAAATGCAGTGCTGTATCAAGCTTGAATTTTATGTCCATACTTGCCCCAACTGTTCAGAGTTCGACCTCTGCGGTCGTATCAAGCTGCGTCCCAGCGGAGCATTTTATTGTTATTGTTGAAGTTTACATAATGTCCTATTATTGTTATTATATTTGCCTTTAAAACTCTATGCTGTGTCAGTTCATGTTACTCAGATATATTTCTCAACAATAACAGGGTGCAAACGATTAATATTTCATATGAAGGATGAACATAATAATTAAAAAAAACATTTTTTTTTATGTATTTGCAGCAAGCTTCTGTAAGTTCCGTTGTAGCACTAATAGCAACAAAGGCTAAATCTTCAATAACTAAACCGGTATCAGTGACCCAGCCAAAGAAAAAGCAAACCTACCAGGAGCTTCAAATTGAAGTTCTGAAGCTGGACAAAACAAGAATCCTTCAAGAGAAAAGAAAAATAATATCTGAAAGAGAAAAGCTAGAGCTAGAAAAAACTCAAAGATCTATTTACAACATTGGTAAGATAACCTTTACTAATAAGTTTGTTTAAAGGTTCGATGAGTTTACACGGATCACATAGTGATTTCCGCGCTTTAAGTACAATATTACCGTAAAATATAAGATGTGAAATACCAATTTTAATCAGTTTTCTAAAGGAACAGCCAAATTTACTAATCAAATCTTTGTATCTATGAAAGAATTTAGTAAAGGTTTTACGTATTTTATGGTAACGAAATCCCGGACTTAATAATTTACCAGTGATGCATTGATTACGTTCGTTAAAATCTATGACATCACTACACACACGGGCATAACGAACAAGTTGGGATATATAAACACCGTATGATGGAGACAAAGGAACATCGCCGTCTAAAAAAGGAAAATTAACAATAGGGAATGAAAAGTCGTCTCTTTTGTCGTAAATTTTAGTATGGAGTTTTCCTTTAGAGATGATTTAATTTGTGATCTGGAAAAAAATATTCTAAATACAGGTATTTTAAATATCAACTGTTGTGCACCAGCTCTTGCTGATGACATCATGTATTGCCACATCACCAGTATCCTTACAACGTATGCTTACTGTGTGTAACCAATATTCCAAGAAATGGCGTTTTCGTTACAATGCCAATAAGTCGTGTATTATTCAATTTTCTGTAAATCCGAAAGAGATCAATGTCAATGTCCCATAGTTTATTATTGGTAATGAACGTATTCCGATAGCAAATAACAATTTTCTCTTAGGTAAAGACCTAAACTGTCGATTTAAATCAAATCAAAGAACTGAAAGTTGATGCAGAAAAGGCAGAAAAGCATTCTTTGCGTAAACTGGTATCAAGACAAAAACAACGAATCCTTGTGTATTACTAACACTTTATAAAACTGTGATACTGCCCAGTGTGTTGTACGGGTGTGAGATGTGAAGATCGTTTTCACGTGTAGAGAAATTTACTAATTACCAGTGCATGATATGATTACATCTTTCTTATTGGTCAATGATCTTGTGGGGTCAGCACGAGTTCACGTGTACGTGCTCAGTCAGCAATTCCTTTTATCATCAGCTTTTGACTTGTTAACCTGTAATTCTTATCAAGCAGTTTGTGAAAAGTTCTCAACCTCATACCTCCCTTAATTTTATCTTTAGAAGAATATATGTATATATGTTTATTAGCGGGGCAGACTTTTGTCCTTAACTTTGCTATTCTTTTTCATATATTCAATTGATATGATTTTAGTTCATGTAATTTCGTATTGATTATGTATTATAATTTCATATCAATTTGGAACTTTTATGTCAATTCAGCTTTTATATCATATAGAAAAACGCGCTCAGACTCTGGCCTGTGAATACATAAGTATGTTTATGGTATCTGTTTGTCTATCTTAAATAATCTTATTTCAAAACTTTACTAAGAATGTTTAGAAAATTAACAGATTTATGCAAGTTGAAACACCGTTCAATGTGACCTTGATGTTAAATTTATTTATGTTTGAAATGTATAAATTGATAAGACTGTCGTACAAGTGAGAGGTTGAGCGCTATAAAACCAGGTTCAATCCACCATTTTCTACATTTGAAAATGCCTGTACCAAGTCAGGAATATGACAGTTGTTGTCCATTCGTTTGATGTGTTTTGTCATTTGATTTTGCCATGTGATTAGGGACTTTCCGATTGAATTTTCCTCGGAGTTCAGTATTTTTGTGATTTTACTTTTTTTTTGTATATATAAATGTAAATAAACTTGTTTCAGCCTATGTTGTTGGTTATATTATTAACAATACGATTTACTCCTCTTTACATGCTAAGGTGTTTGACCGAATACAATAAAGAATATAATATGGTAGACGTTATCATAACGATTCATACATATTAAAGATGAGATACCATTAACAATTAATACAATAAGTAGGTTCATACAAGGTAGGACGACCAATGATAAAAATTAAGACACCACGTTAAATGAAGTTATGTTGGGTAGGGGCGGAAATTTAGCCATGAAACAAACCCTTACTGGGAAGAAATTTTCAATTCTAAGAAATCAGAAATCCAAGAGGAATAGGTATTCTTAGAATAATTTACCAGCTCTTGGTTATATTTTAGTCAATTAGTTCTCAAACAACTGGTGTTTCCTGTTTTTTTTAATGTTTTATGTATTGCTTTGTTTCAAGGCCAGAAGGGTTAGAAACACCAATGTAAAGTATCAAACTATCTTTCGTTTCATTTAGTTTTATAGTACAAACTAAATGCTAGCTCTTTTCATACTAAAATAAAAATTAAAGATTTGTATAGATCAGTATACTGGTACTGTGAAGATCGGAAACACATTAAAACCAGTGAAATATGAAATCATAATAAGTGGTGATACATCTGGCGACACTACTAAGAAGTATTTTGTTTGATGTCATAATGTTCCGGAAAAATGTACTGATAGAATCGTGACGTCATATGCATAAAATTGTGAATGGAAATGGGGAATGTGTAAAAGAGACAACAACCCGATCTTAGAGCAGAAAACAGCCCTAGGTAGCCAATGGGTTTTCAATACAGCGAGAAAATCCCGCACCGCTAGGCGGGCTGCAGCTAGCCCCTTAAAAACAAAAATATGTATTATATTAAAGAAAATTGACGTCATACTTAACTCCGAAACATATAATGAACCAAAATTAAAAAATCATACAAGACTAACAAAGGACAGAGGCTCCTGACTTGAGACAGGTGCAAAAATATGGCGGGGTTAAACAAGTTTTGTGAGATCTCAACACTCCCCCTATTCCTCTAGCTAATGTAGATTAAACAAACACACAGCAATACGCACAGTAAAACTCAGTTTAAAAGAAGTCCGATGTCAGAATAGGTAACAGAAGAAAATAAGCATACTAACAATGATACAGATCTCAATTAAACTGATTGAAAGATTATGTCTTTATTATATGAAAATCAAGCAAAATTCCTCCCGTTATGGGTTTAGTATTATACCATCATAACATATACGAGAAGGACATAACCCGTATCATGCCAGCAACTGGTTTTAGAATAAATGTGTATATTGCCGATGCAAAGACCCTATGAGTAAATCAATATGTATTCCAAAGATGCCATCTTTAATGACCTGACAACACTATCGTAACTATATCCCTTATAAATAAGTCTGTTTAAAATTGGTTAGTTTTTTAGGTGAATGACGACATTTTTGTGCTTTGTATAGAATATTACAATAGAAGATTGGATGTGAAATACTAGAACGTATAAGATGTCTGCATGTTGATGTATATTTACGAATAATGTCCTTGTACCGATGATAACATTTAGTAAATGCTTTGACAAGAATGTATACTTTAGATACAATATTTTGATGTATTCAATGTTCTCTCCCTAAATATACAAAATTTGGTGACCATGTTGAACGAATCTATCCCATCGAACTAGAGATAAAGGATACTACAGATACAGTTAAGTCTGCCTCATATCTTGACTTACATCTAGAAATTGACAATAAGGGTCGGTTGAAAACAAAACTTTACGACAAAAGAGATGATTTCAGCTTCCCAATTGTGAACTTTCCATTTCTCTGTAGCAACATTCCAGCAGCGCCTGCATACGGAGTATATATCTCCTAATTGATACGATATTCCCAGGCTTTTATTTCCTATCATGATTTCTTTGATAGAAGATTGCTGCTCACAAGGAAGCTATTGAACCAAGAGCTCCAAATGATGAAGTTGAAATCATCCCTTCGTAAATTTAACCGACGCCATCACGAGTTGGTTGACCGTTATAACCGTTTCACAGATGATATTGGATATGTTCCTTATGTCGTAACTACAATACCCTTCCCTTTTCACGAATGTGACCTACCGAATTAGACTATTTACCGGATTTGTAATAACATAAGCAACACGACAGGTGCCACATGTGGAGCAGGATCTGCTTACCCTTCCGGAGAACCTGATATCACCCCCATTTTTTGGTGGGGTTTGTGTTGCTTAGTCTTTAGTTTTCTATGTTATGTCATCTGTACTATTATTTGTCTGTTTGTCTTTTTATTTTTGGCCATGGCGTTCTCAGTTTGTTTTCGATCTATGAGTTTGACTGTCCCTCTGGTATCTTTAGTCCCTCTTTGAGGAGAAAAAAAAAACAAACAAGTTAATGGAAACACACTGATTCTTAAAATTTATGCTGGATTTAAAGAATTTAAAAAGTTTTAGTTATTCTAATTCTATAGATAATATCAATTATGTGATTAATATTCAAACATAAATTCAACTTTTAGTCAGTTTCAATCGTAAATCCTTTGAACCTGATAAATGTGCTTTAAGGCACTTGTTACTCATTTCCATATTTTTCTTGTTGTGAACTCTAAGATAAAATCCCTTACTAACAACATAATTTACATTCATTCTTCACAATTTAGGAACACCAAATTCTACAATTTCAATTGCCGAGAGCACTATGATATATTTTGATGGTATATGATATACTATTTAACTATTAATTATTATCAATCTGTACTTGAACAAGTTTGTCTCCTTTTCTTTCTGTTACGATTGATCGAAGCAAAACCAATACAGCATAGTCAGCTATAAAAGGCCCCGAAATGACAAATGTGAAACAATTCAAAGGAGGAAATTAATGGCCATGTGTTTGCTTTCAAGTTTTGATAATGTGCAATCAAAATATTTCAAAGTTTAAATGCAAAAATGTTTCAACATGTACAATGTATCCTTATCCGTCTTGTTGTCATGAAGAGGTGTTAATCAAACAATATGATAACTATACCAGTATCAACGTTTTTCCTGACTGGACATTTTTTGGTATACTTGAGGCCAAAGGTGTGAAACCCTTAACATAATTAACATGTAGGAGCTCCAGAATAAAAAAAAAACAACTCTTTATATAGAAGAGCTAAAATTGAAAAACAAGATGCTACATACATCTAAATATGTTTATTATGTTAAAGGAAGAAAAACCAAGACATATGGCATTATTTAGAACCGTATGTAGTAGTATACCTGACGACT